ACTTGGACCGAATTTTATCACCCACGGCGGGATAGCCGCGTCATATTCATTAAACTACCAACGGGCAGCCGATGATATGCATAGGGGCTATCGGATACACCGGATTGGAAGCTAGCACCTGTGCTGTATTAGAGAATTCACATACTTTATTACATTACGCAATTGACTAGCAAACACCCTTCCTCCAGATAAGCGTGGCCACATAGATCATATTTTTGTCATTCAGGTCGTCTCTTTAATCCAAGTCGAGTGGGTAGACAGAAAGAGATATAGTCATCCTTATTGAGTAATAGGTCAATGTAATTTTACGAAATAAAACTTCTGAAAACGACCGTGCCAATCGTTCATCAGAGCGAATCCCCCGGTAATCCACCATGATTAGCTACTGAAGCACCGTTAGCACTTGGATATTTTCCTAATAAGCATACCAGTCATTGAAAACACTTGAACAAATAGAAAACGGGGGCATGATCAGAGTTTTTGATGGCTGGATAAGGTCAAAGGATAAACGACGTGTCCGAGAGATGATTGAGCCGGTCATTTCAAGAAGTTGAGGCAGCAATAGGAACGAACGAAATTTTACCACCTTTTTCTAAAAACACTTTGTCACAGAACAGAAGCCCAGCTAAATCGCGTTTTTGGCCTTAACAATCCTCAGAGCTCAATTTTACCAGCGACACGGCTTCCGATGCGGATTCTAGGGCTGGAGGGTAAAGAAGGAATTGGCAGTTCGATGACATCACAGTCTAGACTGGAACCAACTGCGGGATTTTCATACTTCTAAAGTCTGCAGCAATAATAATTATTCGAGCTTGCGTTACTTCCCCAACAACACATCCAGCGCGGGTGGGTCATAATGGATAGCATTCTCCATCTACCCCGAGTCAACGAAAAATACGCGAATAAAAGCCTAGTTAGTGATGACTGGGTATTTATCATCGTTTTTTTGCACGCGTGCGTACGCATGTTATCGCACAACTGTGCAAAGAATCAAACCATCAGTATTCCTGAAGAAAAACACATGAAAGATGTCATCAGAACCGCGGGAACAGGTGCTGATAACTGTCATAGCGCATACCTAAGTGCCACATGGTCGAATATTGACGTGTTCCTACTTCTATTCCCATACTGAGAGAACTTGTGAACTCCCCAGAGGAACGTCAACTTTGAAAAAAAGACCAGTCAAACAATTTCGCGTGGTTTTTGACAT